AGTTTAGTTATATTATGTATATTCATATTATTATTAGGTCTGATTTATTTATTGTGTCCCTTAAGTTCTCTATTTCCTTATTGACCTTTTTTTTGTTATTTTATGCATTCTGAATGAAGCATTGAAGTTTCCAACTGTTATTGTAAAACAACTCCTATCTTTAATTTTATCATTATTTTGATGGTCTGTCATTAGATGCATAAATGTTTATAATTGTTATAATTTCTTGTTATATAGAACCTTTTATAAATATGTAATGTTCTTCTCTGTCTCTTGTAACTTTTTTTTAATCTATATTATGTTTTGTCTAGTAGTATAGTCCAGCTATTTGGTTATTATTTGAATGGAATGTCTTTTTTCCATTTACTTATAACTTATTTGTGTCTTTGGGTCTCACTGAGGCTTATAGATAGCATATATGTTTTTACCCATCCTGGCAATTTTCTTTCTTGATTATAAAGTTTAATTCATTTACAGTTAAAGTAATCTTACCTAATAATAGACAAACATGTAAATTGACCTTACCTCTGCTATGCCCACAGCCAATCAGAGTGAGTATGCAAATTAGAAGGACAAAGATGGCAGCTGCCCAGCTGTTTCATGCATGGAGTGGCCAGGCAGGGCAAGATGCCTGCTATGAGAGGGAGGGCGGGGGATGAAGGGATCTACAGGAGCGGAGCGCAGCAAAGATGAAGACTGCAGACTCCAGCCTGAGTCTGTAGTAAAGAAGAAGGCAGACTCAGGCCAGAGTGAAGGCCTGGGTTCCGGTGCTGGAGTAAAACCGATGCTGGAAGCCAAGGGAAGGAAGGCCTATTGCACAAATCTCTTCATGCAACGGGCCTCTAGTTACTAATAAAGAAAAACTGTCATTTTATTATTTGTTATCTATATTCCATTCCTTAAACTTTTTGTCCCATATTGCCTTCATTATTGTTTCATTTTTTGCTTGATTTTTTTTTGTAGTGAAATGTTTAAATTTTTTTTCTATTTTATTTTCTGTATATTCTTAGCTGTTTTCTTTGTGAACCATGGAGACACTCTAAATTTAATTTATACCAGCTTATTTTGTTATATACAAAATTTCTGTTTTTTTAACAGTTTTATATACACCCCATTCAGCTGTTGATAATCCCAAAATTACATATTTACATTAGTGTATGTCTAAAAACATATAAATTAATCATTTTAAATGCATTCATCTTTTAAATTATATACCAAACAAATATGGAGTTATAAAGCAGTTATAGGATTTTAGACTAATAATTGATTTAGTTATTTATTAATATTGACTTTAATTCTTTACTAATAATTAGCTTTTAGACTAAAATAACTTTTAGAATTATTTAAATATAACTATTAAAATATTAATATCTTAAATTACATAAAAAACAAAAAGTGATGTTATAAATCAGTTACATTAACACCAGCTTCTATAATTGCTCCTTTATTTATTTTACCAAGATTTTATTTCTTCAAACACCATGATTTACTGTATGCTGTTGTTTCATTTCAATCTACAGTACTCCCTGTAGCAGGAATGGTCTACTGTTAATAAACTAACTCAGTTTTTGTTTATCTGAGAATGTCTTAATTACTCCCTCACCTTAAAAGGACAGTTTTTGCCAGATATAGGGTTCTCTGGTTGCCTTTTTTTTTTTTTTAAGCTCTGAGTATATCAGCCCACTGCCTTCTGACCTTCAGAGTTTCTAATGAGAAAGCTATTGATAATCTTATTAAAGATCTTTTGTCTTCAAGTTACTTCTTTCTTGCTGCTTTCAAAATTTTCTTTGTCTTTGTATTTCAAGTTTGACTTAATGTATCTTTGTGTGAATCTCTTGAGTTCATCCTACCTTGAGTGAGTTCATCCTACCTTGAGTTTGTTGAGCTTCTTGGATGTTTATATTCAGTTCTACCAATAGATTTGGAAATGTTTTGCCCATTATTTCTTCATATTTTTTTCTCTGCTCTTTGATCTCTCTCTTCTCCTTTGATTTACACTATGTGTATGTTGATCTACTTAATGGTGAGCCACAGGCCTATTAAATGCTGGTCGCTTTTCTTTAGTGTTTTCTTTCTGTTCTCAGACATAATTTTTATTATTTTAAGTCTACCCATTCTTTCTTCTGCTTAATTAAATCTGTATTGAATTGCTCTAGTGAATTTTTCATTTCAATTTCAATTATTATACTTTTCAGCTCCACAATTTTCTTTTGATTTCCCTTTAGATTTTCTTCCATAGATTTTTGTTTTCATTTTGTTCATACATCATTTTCTTATCTTTGTTCACCTTATCTTTTAAGTTCTTTAAAGGTTGCTGTTGACTCCCAGTTAAGGGCACATACCTGGACTATCAGTTCACTCTCCAGCCTTTGTAGGAATGTGTGTAAGAGGCAACCAGTTGATGTATCTCACACTGATGCCCCTCTGCCCCTCTCATCCTCCCTCTCTTTCGCTTTCTTCTCCCTTCTTCCCTTCCACTCTCTCTAAAAATCAATGGAAAAAGTATCCTCAGTGTTAGGATTGACAACAAACAGCTGAGTGCTTGATTCAATCTAGTTTTTCTTGCTTTTTATTAGGAAAATTTTCCAAAATACTCAAATGTAAAGGGAGTAAAATAGTGAACACCTTCATACTCATCACCAACTATAATAATCATCAACTGGTTTATATAGTCTATAGCCCCTCTCACTTCTAACCTCTCATGGTTTTGTTTTGTAGTAAATGTAACACTTTATATTGTGTTTCTTTGTAAATATTTCAATATCTTGTAGTCTTTTTACATGACGAATTGAAAGTAATCTTCTGAGTTGGTGCACCTGAGTAGCTAGCATTGTAATAATTTTGGTATAAATTAGATTTTCTACTTTTCCCATTGTATGTTAGGTAATAAATGGGCAGAGAGAACCAAATGGCTTTCTTGCCATAATTTTTTAAGAATGTAACTTCTTTTGTAACTTTAAATAGTGTTTTTCTTTCATGCCCTCTTCTGTAATTTCTTAAACAAAATCTGGTAAAGTTGTACCATTAGTTTTTTTTAATTAAGTGAAATATTGTTAATTTGAGATATATCAATAGGTCATTGAGAAATGAATATTTTCAAATATTCATAAATTTCATTTCTGTAAATTGACTATTTTTGCTTAAACAGCAATCTTATCAATAGTATCTTTATGAGATTTGGTTTTCACTGAATCATTCAAAGACAGACTATAATATTCAAAGGTATGGCTCTACATAAAATTAATGTCATGTTTACATATATTTAACTAGAGGCTTGGTGCACAAATTCCTGCATGGATGGGGACCCTTGACCTGGCTGGCAATTGGGGCTGATAAGGGCCGTCTCACCCAGCCCCTATTGGGGCAATCAGGGCCCACCAGCCCATTGGTGGGAGGGATCGCAGGATGTTGGCTGGCTGGGGGAAGGGACTGTGGAAGGTTGGCCTGCCACAGGAGGTTGGCTGTGGGAGCGCACTGACCACCAAGGGACAGCTCTTGCGTTGAGTGTCTGCTCCCTGGTCGTCCTAGCGACTAGTCAACCAGTTGTTCAGTTGTAACGGTCACTTAGGCTTTTATATATATAGATAAAGTATTTCCTACTCATTTTAAACCTGTTGCTTCATGTATCCCAAATGCATACTGTATAATTGTTTATCTGTAACTGTGTTGTCTTTAAACATCTTATCATATGATTGTCCATATCTCTAGTACTTTGCTGAAAATAATGTAAAACATTTGAAGTCCGAATATTTACTTTTTAGAAATTCCCATACACTTTGAAGAAAATGCTTATTTTGTATATGTTTGTTTCATACAGCTTTTATGTATAATTATTTATTACTTGGATTAGAACTATTAATACTTATAAACATTCCTAACAGTTGTTTAAAGGATAGTCATCTTTTTTTTTTCCTATGAAAATGTCATTTGATTTGGTACTTCTATACTTTCATATGTGTAAAAGAATGGTAATTTTGAGGGGAATTGTCAGTTTTCTGGTATGTTTCTGATATGTTCTGATGTGTTTTTCATTTGGCATAAATTACACTTTATTCTTTAAATTTTATTTCACCTATATAATAATTATTTTGAACTTAACCAGACAACCAAACTTTTTGAATCCAAACTTAGATGTATTTGTGTTTTTTGCTTGTTTTTTATTTGTTTGTGGTTTTTTTATCTGTTTGCTTTTGTGTGTGTGTATTTTGTTTGGATTTAAAAGTTTTGTAATTGTTCTGTGAGTGGTCTAGAGCAGTGGTCAGCAAACTGCAGCTCTCAAGCCATATGCAGCTCTTTGGCCCCTTGAGTGTGGCTCTTCCACAAAATACCACATATGGGTGCGCACGTACAGTGCGATTGACTTTGTGGCCCATGCGCAGAAGTCAGTTTTCGGATCTCAAAAGATATTTCAATCGCTGTACTGTTGATATTTGGCTTTGTTGACTAATGAGTTTGCCGACCACTGGTCTAGAGTAACAGTTGGAAAGCAATAATTGCAGCTGAAAATAACGGGGGGTTTTACATGACCATTTTGGTTCCAGTTTTCTAAAAGTGTGATTGATTTCTTTTTGTGTTAGACTTTCTTTATGTTCAAACACGATTCATTGTGGGGAAGAATTTTTTTTTCTTTCTGGGTGATAAAGTCATTTAAATCTTCATGGGATCTTCAGGAACAGAAAAGCTAATGACTTCTAAGCAATTCAAGGAGAATACTGAAGAATACTTGTGGATTTTTTTAGGAGGCTGGTGAACTTCTTTGCAGACCTTAAGAAATTATCTGTTTGAGCAGAAATAACTTATTTCCCAAAAGAAGATCTAATTTAACCACTTATACCTATTTTCACTTGTTGCTGGAAACTGGGTACATTGTTTAACAAGCTCATATAAAACTATAATTGAAGAAATAGCACATCTGTCATAGCTTCTAACATTTGTGAACATTAATATTTAATGTGTCAATTTTCCTTTTAAGCTAACACATTACAATTCTTTTCTTTAAGGCAAATCCTCCTCCAGTACTGGTCAACACAGATAGTTTGGAAACGTCGACTTATGTAAGTTCCAATTCATCCCCACATTTAAATAATTCTGCTTTTTCTGTTTTCTTATAGGTATAAAAATGACAGTGTTATTTTCTCGCACATATTGTACTTATAATATTCTTCACTGACCTACATTTGTGAAAGTAAATGAAGCTATACTGTTCTTTTTTGGTTGTTTCTTTTCCTCATAAATGCAAAGCAGAAACATTGAAATTTATAAATTTATTTTTAAATTAAAATGATTAACTTTCACCAAAGGCTATTTCTGATCAGTGGTCACTAACACAGTGCCATTCAGAGTCATTTTAAAAGTTTAATTGAATAACTATTTAGTAACCATGTTTATGTGTGCATTCATATATTAAAATAGTTATAACTATATAACTTTAAATTGATTGCTACTTTTCTCTGAATTTACTTTCTTAAAAAGCCCTACTTCCCTTAAAGATAATTAGCTAGAACATCAGAATCTGACCTAACATTTCACCCCAAAGGAAAATGTCTTTGGAGATGTTTAAGTAGAAGTATTGCCTGTGCGTTTTTAAAATCAAATGATGCATAATTTCATAAGCTGTAAAAATCATTTCCTCTTATTTTTGAACTGTAGTTTATTTAAAGCTATATTTTAAAACATTCTATTTGACTTTATTTTTTTTTTTTTGTATTCGTATAAATATGGATGTATTCAGATAACTGGGGATTTTGGAAAACCTCAAATAATCTTGAAAATAAACAGAAATGTTTTTCTATACTTTTTTTTTCAGTCACTATTACCTTTCACATGGATGTAGAGTACTTCAGCAGAATTTTGTTTGTACCTTTGTCAATATTTTCTTCTTCACATTTCTTTCTCCTTCACTTGTTCTCTTTGTTGACTTACGTTTTGGTTATGGGCTAAGATAGTGATTAAATATTTTTTATTTTTTTTTAGAACCCTTTCAACTGAAAGATTAATATAAAATAATTAACAGAAAAAACAATACCAACAAAGAAAATACATATGCATTTTTGGGTAAATGTTAACAAATTAAAAGCAAATAAGCATACTAAGCAGCCAAAAGTTATATGATTTCCAGTTTGTATAAGATAGCATTTAAAAAATATTTTTTTCTTGCTAAGCAAGGTATGTTGAGGGTCTCCAAGAACACTCACTACTCACTTTGAGAGATTCGCTGACTACAAGACTCGGCATAAGATTTAGCACAGCGATGTAATAAGATGGGATCTACATGTCAAGTTATAAGATAGTATATGTAGAGCAGTGGTCCTTAGCCTTTCTAATGCCGCGACCTTTTAATACAGTTTCTCATGTTGTGGTGATCCCCCAATCATAAAATTATTTTCGTTGCTACTTCAGAACTGTAATTTTGCTACTGTTTATGAATCGTAATGTAAATATCTGTGTTTGGGCAACGCTGCTAGCAATTCTCATCTTGTAAGTCACGACCCAACAGGCTGCGAACCGCTGCTCTAGAGCCTAAGACCATCGGAGAACACAGATATTTACATTATAATTCATAACAGTAGCAAAATTACAGTTATGAAGTAGCAACAAAAATAATTTTGTGGTTAGGGGTCATCACAACATGAGGAGCTCTATTAAATGGTCGCGGAATTAGAAAGGTCACTGGTCTAGAGGATCCCATGTTTAGATTTCCTTATACTTTCTTCCTCCCATGAGGTGTCACACGGAGCACTCTTTTCCTTACCAATAAAAGTACAGCACTATGTGTGAAGTGTTTCCACCCTGGGAAACTCATTGTGGACTCAGTGCAAAGTTTTTTATTGCAGGTTGGTCACCTAGGAACCCTCTGTCCAGCACATACCAAATTTCCAGGCTCCCAGAAGGGGAAAGCAGGTATTCATCATAAAATGTATTGTCTCTATAAACGCTAGCCACAGTATGGAATGATGTGAACACATCCAAAATCAATTTCCCAAATACTTGCTAAGACCATTCTAGAGATAGCAGTCATAGGCCTGATATGTTAACCCTTTTCTGGACATAAAGAAATAGGATAAATTCTAATTCCTCAAGCAAGATTTGTCAGAGTGTGCTACTTTATCATTCTTAAAGAATACATTGTTCTCTGAAGCTCTTGCTTCATGTAGGCAAAAAACGTGTTTTGTTTGGGTAAAACAACCTTAAGCTTTTAAGAAACAGATATTTAATCCTGAAATTTAAAATGTATTACAAAATTGTTTTAAACTTATTTGCTATTCCTTTGTTAATTCTTTGATCACTTAATACTAACTATATATTGATGAATAAAACTAAGAAAAATTATGCCTACTACCTGAGAACCCTAACTTTTCCTGTCTATAGTCACTACACTTCCCTAAATTAATTAATTAAACAGGCAATGCATGTACATTGTGCAAAATTCAAAAGATACCTGGTGAAAAGTTATTCTTTTTTCTACCCCTGCTTCCATTCTTCCAGTTCACCTGGACTAAGGGAGAAAGTGTTAGTATCATCATTTATATACTTCTGTAAACATTCTCTGCAAATGCATTGCATATATGTGTTGTTTCTATACTTTTACCATGTAAAACCAATGCCTTTCTGATAATTTTTTATGGATATTTTGTGTGTGTGTGTACATGTGTGTGTGTGTATAAAATCAGAACATACTCATCTTACCTAATAATAGACAAACATAAATTGACCTGTATCTTTGCTATACCTATAGCCAATCAGAGTGACTATGCAAATTTACCCAAAAAAGATGGTGGTTAATTTGCATACATAGGCACCCAGGGCCTGTGTCCCAGGAACATCCTGGCACCAAGGTCACTGTGAGGTAAGGCCTGGGCAGGAGCATACACCCTGTGATTAATCGCAGGGACCTGCCTGTCCGTTCCTGCCCAAGAGGCTTTCGTCCTGGGAAGGCCTGGGCAGGGGCGGAACCGGTAATTAGAGGGAGCTGGAGGGGCCCTGCCCAGGCCTAAAGTTTTGACCGAGGCTTTAGGCCTGGGCAGGGCCCATTTTTCAATTGGTATGAACTATAGAGGGAACACCTTTTCTGACTGCACATTGGCTGAGCTCTCTTTATACCACTGGTAATACTCTTAGTAACTTGGGTAATAAGAATTCAAATAGGTGATCTAGCATTTTCCCACCACACTTCTGGAGAAAAAAAATGAAGGTCTGCTGCTGGAGGGCTAAGAAATGTCATATCCTGTCCTAGCCAGTTTGACTCAGTGGATAATGCCTCGGCCTGCTATGGGATCCCTTAACACGACCTGCGTGGTTCAGGGCCACTCAGGGTCCGGTTTCTGGAGGAGGCCACACACTAAAATGAAGAGAAAGACTGGAAGAGTTAATTTGGAAAAATGGGGGGCCAGGCGGGAGTCAACCTCTAGTGGGAAGACTGCTGCTAGGCTCTGGCCTTGCTAACCCTTTTATGGAGGCTCTGGGATACACCCATTACCCTTAAGCAGCTTTGGGAAACACCCATATCCCTTATGCAGGTAATAAGTGGATTATCATATCAGTAAGGATTTACATGATTACAAGATAGGGAAGTTGCCTCAATTACCATTGTCTCAATTAAATAGGGTGTGGTTGGCTCTGACCTTTCAGATCTTCAAGGTTGACCAGCCTCTTTCTATATTAGTGAGACAATGATTGGTTTCCAGCAGCCTGCAGACAGCAGGGTCTGGATTCGATTCTGATCAAGGGCATGTACCTAGGTTGCAGGCTCCTCCCTGGTCAGGGCCCAGATCAGGGCTCATACAAGAGGCAACCAATCATAGTGTTCCTTTGACTTTGATATTACTCTCTGTCTTTTCCTTTCTCTTCCACATTCTCTAAAAGTCAGTGGAAACATATTCTCAGGTGAGGATAAAAAAAAAGAAAGAAAGAAAGAAATGCATATTTAAGGAGATCCAAGATGACGGCTTAGGTAAACACACCTAAACTGCCATGCAAAACAATTTCAAAACTACAACTAAAAGACAAAACGTCTATCACCCAGAAACACGGGAAAGCTGGCTGAGTAAAAGCTCTACAACTAGACTTAAAGAGAAAGGAGCATTCAAGGCACAAGCACTGAAAAGCTGAGGTATGGGGGCTCACCCGTGAAACAGGCTGGCGGCGGATCCCAGCTGGTGGAGAATGTTGCTTTAATCAAACCGAAGGCAGACAAGCTCCCAATCTCTGAAATCTTGTTTCTGGAAAGAAGCTGGACTGTCTGCCATCAGGTCAGAACGTGAGGGTGGCTTGCTTGCAGAGCTGCGCGCAAGAATAATTGTTAGCTTTGCTGGGACATGAGATGCAGGGACACAGAGAAGCAGAGATGACTGACTGGCAGCCATTGCTGTTTGCCATGCCTTAGCCTAGAGATGCCCTGAGATTCCACCCCATACGATCTAAAGACACCCAAGCTCTAAGAAGCAGCTTTTGCATATTAATGGTCTTCTCTATTGCAGTTTAACCTAGCAACTTGCAACCCAGTGCAGACAGCTCCAAAGCCTCCAAGCTCCAAGCAGAGAGGAGAGGACTGTGGTTCTCACTGTAGCTCCTGCAGGGTGGCCTTAGACAGTTGCTGAACTGCGTCCCATTGGAGATCCAGAAGCCAGTGTATCTAATGGTCAGTGTGAGATACCAGATTTCAACAACTCACATCCATAAGTAACACATTCAGGAGGTGGACTCGGTTAGCACCAAAGCCCCACTGAAATAAAGCCTGCACCAAAAGCGCGTCTGCAGTGCAGCAGTTCTTCCGTTATAAACACAGTGGGTCCTCACAGCTAATTGGCCTTGAGGTCAATTCCTCTCAGTGTACCAATAGCAATCAAGGCTTAACTACACCAAGACTTTGCACTCAGCCCATAAAGGGATGTACCAAGAGCAACCACCTCGGGTGATTGGGGAAGCTGAGCTACTGGCCCCTATTGGTCACCTACTACACAAAGCCACTCCATCAACACAGGGAGGCAACCAAAATATAGAGACACAGAAGCATGTCATGAATGGGAGAGATTGAGGAAAGTGAACTACTGGATGA